AGCACAGGAAAAAAATAAGATTTAGAGCTTCTTCTATGAGGACAGAGTAAGTCAGCCCAAGAACCTAGAAGTTTTTTTGAATTCAAGAGGTGCTGTGAGAAGGCTTCTCCATTTGCTTTCTGATTTTGCTCAGCATTTCTGTTCCTGCCTACTTTGAGACTTCTATGAGGAGAGAGTAAGTCAGCCCATGAACCTAGAAGTTTTTTGGAATTCAAGAGGTGCTGTGAGGAGGCTTCTCCATTTGCTTTCTGATTTTACTTAGCATTTCTGTTCCTGCCTACTTTGAGACCAATACAACTTTGTACTAGAACAATACATCACGTTCAAAATGCATTTTAGCATCAGCTGGTAACTGACAGCACACTTTCCCCAATTTCATTTTTCAAATAGAATTCTAAAGAGAATTCTTATACCAGAGAAATTCAGACTTCCAACTGAAGGCCAACAAAGCGAGAGGAGCAAGGCAGAGGTTGGGTTTGTCACCAGCACATCTCCCACACGTAGATAAGGGTTGCTACAGAGTAAACCCCACATCCACAGCGTTTTGTTCTTTGCCTTTACCTGTTGGGGTTCCTCTGTGGTCCATCAGGTGGCTTGGACAGTTCTCTGGAGGTTATTGACAGCTCTAGGCGTGACGCCTCTTTGGCAGGGCTCCTACTCACTTGCCAGGCTAGACCAGAAGTTCAGCAGCTGTTAATACCCAGTTGTCTCTCACTCCCAGGGAGGTAATAGTCACGTCAAAGCCATCAAACACTGTAATTAGCAATGACCACCATGACTGCTGCTAATACTGGGGGGCAGAGAGGCTTGTGGCAGTCTTGGATGTTTATTAGCTTGCTCCCTGCCAAATCACAGGGCTCCCTGTGGTGGCATCAGCAGTAAGATCAGTAGCAGCTGGCTGAGATTCTCCTCCCTTGCTGCAGCTGCTGGAGCTGACCCCACCCCAGAGGCAGCAGAGCAGCTCCTCATGAGGATGAGTTTGCAGGCGACGTGAGATGGCAATGGAAAGAAAGAGGGGTTTGCCTTCAGAGCAGCCCTTCACTCCCACTGAAAAGTTCAGCTAATTGCAATTTAAAGTTCAAACCTCCGTGACGGTTTCCTGCCTAATGAAACCTGCAGTCATTTTTGGAGTCTGTGCCTACAATTAAGAGCATAATTGAGCTCTCTTTTGTATACACTGGCTTTGGGACTTTCCAGTTTCTCGACGTGACAACACTGGCTGCATTATACAATGCTGCAATCTTATTTCGGGACAATTGCCTTCAACTCTCACATTCTGAAACAGAGAAAGGAAAAAAAAAAAGACAGAATTGAAGCATCAGCTACAATTTTACCAGCTACCAACATGGAAACTCAAGCAACGATGCCAATTCAAAGTAAAACTCACAGAGAAGACCTGAATTTTACTTACATTTGTAGCTTGAAAAATACACGGCTTCACTTTTTTCT